GCTCTTCTTGACGGGGCCCTGTTCCCCCCCCCCCCCACCTGCTCTCAGAATTGACTTATTCCAAATTGGGACCCCTGTCCATGGAATATGATAAGTTGTGAACTACAGTAGTACTTGGAGGTACAGCAGTGGAATCTACATACAGTATTTCAGACTCTTTTTAATCAAGTCATAAATTAACATTATCAATCTTCTCATTCTTTCAATCAATTCACAAAAGGTGGTGCAGATCATCATCATAATATTTATTTTTTTCAAACAATGAAGCATTTCCCTGTGCAAAATCAATACATGGTGAAATCTTAAAGCAAGTTTTAGTTTTTTTTGTTTTTCTGAAAATTTGAATACAGGCATAATAGAGTTAGTGGCCTTTCACGAATCAATTTCATTATTCAATCACCATAGTCACTTTGATGTTTATAATCTTCCTTATTTTTTCACGGATTTTGGATTATATGAAGTGAACCAATATATAAATGCATGCATGTATCAAAATGGATTACAAGTTAAATCATATTGTTACCCTCTCCCCCCCCCCCAAAAAGCATTGTACCCCTACCAACAAGGTGTAGATAGCAAGTAGAATCTGGGTAGGAACCAAGTGGTCCTTTTAAAACTTGTCTAATTCAAACTAAGTAAAACATCAAATTATATATAATACAGATGCAAATTTTAGAGTACTGTATTGTCTAACTTATAACCCAGTTCTACTTTGTGAGGGTGTATATCAGCTGTTTCTGTGCTGCTGATTCTTTCTTTTTTTCAGCTGTTTTGATAAGTACAGTTCATCGTAGGCCTACAGTGTATCAGCTGTTTTCTGTGCTGCTAATGCTTTCTTTTTTCAGCTGTCTTGATAAGTACAGTTCATCGGAGGCCTTCGAAATCCTAGATCTTGGCACTGCATGCAGTAGTTGACTTCGGAAGTCCCAGAGAGACTGAACCCTTCTAATTTCTCAAAAAGTGCTATATATGCAGATAAGGCTTGGACTCGGATTGAGTGGTGGTGCTTTACGTGGACAAGGCTTGGACTGGGATTGAGAGCTGGTACTTAATATGTGGATAAGGCTTGAATTTGGAAGTGATGCTGTACGTGTGTAAGGCTTGGACTCGGATTGAGATGTGGTGCTGTAAATGGATAAGGCTTGCACTCGGATTGAGAGGGGGTGCTTTACGTGGATAAGGCTCTACGCCGAAACATCTTTTTCTCAATGTACAGTAAGTACTACACCGTATTAAGCCTGGGCACTCACCGCGTTGTATGACCGTTGCACGATGAATCAAACTGCGCTCCCGGTGAGCGATAGACAACGTGATGTCGTCTGCTGATTGTGGGTGGCAGTCTGAACGGATCACCATTAAAAACGATCCGTTCTTTATAGAATCGCGTCGGCCGACGACCGTCGAGCACAGAAAGTGCCTTTTAGAGTAATTAATTATATTTGATTTTCTACAATTTCAAAACAGCTTTCTTGATCATTGCATGGAACATAAGTTGTTTATTTTTTTTTGCATTTGACTAAAGTTTTTAAAATTTTACAAAATATAATAATAATAATAATGTCGTTCTTATAGCGCTTCATGCCTTTACAAGGCCTCTAAGCGCTTCACATTACTACCCCGGTCATTGAATCAAACACATATGGAACACATTGAACACCAAATTAAATTAGTAAATGAAATGATAATAATAAATAATAATAATAAAAATAATTAAATTCGGAAAAACTGCTCATGAACCTGTATGCAGAGAACATTCATAGAATTCTTTCATCATGATTCTTTGTATGGATTAATGGCCCTGGTCCCTTCAAGACCAAAATTGCTGCCCTGCCCTGCATTGCCCTGCATTTATAACAGAAGTTTCAGAGAATATTTACTGTTTTTCTTTTGTAGAGCAACTGTTAGGATGATGCAGATGATCATTTTCAATGATGTCTACTAAACCACACCAACGACAGATGGATAGCGGCAGGTGTGTACATCTTACCAGTGGCAGCACCAGTAATAACCTATGCAACAATTGTTTGTTGTTATAAGTTTACGTTGGAAAATAGTTTACGTTAAAAAATAGTAACATTTTATATGCTTAATTCTTCTAAGTTATAACCGTGATTTTACTTCAAATCAAGACACAAAACATCTTTCCCATGCACTAATAATGAGTCATGTTTATTCAAATTTGAAAAATGCATGATAATGATGAATCACATTTCTGTAATACTAGAAGACCACTAAATAAAACTGTAATCAATTCCCAGTTATCTGTTAATATCATAGTAGTTCAATAAATTGCAATACTGTGTTGAAACAATATTTTGTAGTAAATTTTTCGAGCTGTCACTAAAATGTTTGCAAATATTGCATACTTATGTCTGCATAATCCTGTTGAAGCGGATTTAGAAGTGCATAGATTGACATTCTACAAAGTTTGTAAAATTCTAGGCTCCAGAGGAAAAAAATATTGGTGATATGTTGTACAATTGGTTTTTTAAAGACACAAAAAGTTGTTCGACTATTTGCCAAAAGCGCTCATACCCACTGATTACACAACAACAAAAACTACATGCAACTAGGTTGAACTTGTTTCCTAGTGTGCTACCTTGCTTCTGTCTGGGAGTGTGGAAAAATATTATGTTTCGTTATATCTCAACTTGGGATTTCATTTGTTCAACTATATAATGCGGAACATACGTGCACCCATCACAT